CACACACGAGACTCAAAATAAGTATCGTGGAGACGCAGACTATGCATATCGACTAGCCATGCATGAGTACGCAAGCAATTGCAATGATAGCGTACTATATAGTACCCATAATCATGTGGCCCTCAATGGCCTTGAGGGTCGCTTTCGACATTCAAGTGTCGACCGATATGCGCTTTGAGGGGTCAATCTCTCGAAGCTAGAAAACCGCCAAGGCAGTTGTCAGTTCTACCCTCTTCTGCACCCTGCGCATGTAAGCGGTAGGCGGACCTTCACCTTTTGTAGTAGTTGAACACCCCTAACATTGAAAGTGGGGTTCCATCATCCAAAGCATGAAAAAAAGTCAAGGGGTTTGACTTTGACAGTTGCTACGGACATTAACGTCAAACAATAAAAATATTAAAAATAATTTTTTTTTTTTGTCTCGCTATAGTTTTCTTAACCAACACGCACGGTCATAGTAGACCACGTGAATATGTCGCATACAAATAAAAAGGTTATAGAACACGTGGCGAACACTCTTACAATTACAGAGTGACTCCCTTCAAAATATACTTATGATCGCAGACAAAGTCAAATATGAAATTCCACTCACTAAACATACTTGTTATCACATCAAGGATTCAACATTGGCAAACCACACACTACACGGGGTCAACTTCAACCACTCTCTGCACTCATACCCCTTGCCTTATCCACACAACCCCAACCTTTGTCCAACCTTTCAAAACAACATATATTTTTTTCAAAGTTAAATAATAATTTTATAGTAAAATAATATTTTAAATTTTAATTTTTTATTTCATCTTCAAAATATCATTCAAATTTTTCGTCTTACTTGAAAATTTTCCTTTCAATAATAGGGTATCCTTTCTTATTTGAACTGCATGCTAGAGATGGCATGAAAGTCTGGACGAATTCATGAAATATTTTAATAGAATTGTCATTCTAATTAAGGATTTTCAGTTATAAATACGTTAATCCAATCTAAATTATAAGATATTTATTGTAGTAAAATGAAAGTTTTATTAAAATATTTCATGAATTCGTCCATAATTTCGTTCCATCTTGAACAAATAGATGTAGCTGGAAAGTAAAACTCATATTTATATGACAACTTATCAAATAAAATTAGAAATTTTAAAATTGGATGAACATTGAAATGATAATTTATAAATATGAAAGACTTTTTTTTTTAGGGAATGTTTTTCAAACTTTCATTTTTAATGGGAGTTTTTCTGTTAAATAAAACACTCAGTCCATTTTAAATGACTATTTAATAAAAGAACGGGTAAAACCAAAAAAAAACAATTCAACCCACATGGGATAAAACCTCTAGGTTGAGTAGCGGGAATGAGTTAGAGTTGAGTCAAAAACCGATAGGTCGACAATCCTTTTGTTATCAATAGGCAACGGAAAATGATCCTTGTAGGATCAGGCTGAAACAAACGAGATTTTAGATCGAATTGATCGAAAAATTGACATGTAACACAACATAGTTCAATCCCCAAAACTAAACTTTAAGTGTATGAAAAATAAACCTCCATATCACATCTTACTCAAAAATATATTAAGATTAATTATAAATCTATCTTTAAGTGAGTACTAGCAGAATAAAAACAATTTCGACAATATCTCCCCTACACAGCGTGAATTGCCAAAATGTTTCCTGTCAAAATATAATATAACCCATCGGAACTAAAAACATTTTGACAGCACTCTCACTAAAGAAAGTATCTTTTCATAATTTATACTCGACTGAATAAGAAATCTGAAATGATCCTTAACTTTATAAGTCAAATTTTGTCAAACTCTCTGAATGAGTAAAATTTAAATTGCATTTCCTTTAGAGAAGTAAGCTTCGCATATTTATACCAAGTCGTATATGAACTCACGATGAAGTTAGTCCTGGTAGGATAAAATTTAACTGACTCTTTAGATTTGTAAAAATTTTGGCAGCACTCTTTCTATAAAAGTGTCATTCCAAAATTTGTACAAAACTAAATACAAAATATAAAAATAATTATGACTTCACAAAGTCAAATTTTGTCAAAATCCCTGATTTAGTAAAAAAATAGGCAACATTTATCATAGAAAGGAGGCTTCTCATATTTCTACTAAGCCAGATATGAAACTCATACAAAAGTTCAATCTTTGAAAAATCAAAATTTGCTTAACTCATTGGTTTTGCAAAAAAACTGGTAACACTCCCTTTAGTAAAAGTAACTTTTCAAAATTTATACAAAACCAAGTATGAGAAAATAAACGTATTTTAAAAAATGAAAAAATTGAACTGACTCTTATAGCTCCAACATGTTGCGAGCATTTAAAATAACTACCTATCAAAGATGACACTCATACTAAGTATAACTCACACTCCATTACAAACAAGTCCGTACCACAATGGGTAAATACTTTCACCAAAATCCCAATTTGTTTTTATATAAGATAATTCGTTTATCTTCCAAATGATTATCCCTTGTACCCATCTTACATATGACATGATGTTAGGCCATTAAACTTAGAAACAATGCGTAGCATGCCTTAGATTATACATGAATAGGATGCACAACTACTTCCCTCTTCTTTGAGCGTGTGAGTAGACCATTCAACTTAGAAACAATACCTAGTCGCCCTGAACTGTTTAAATATCAAAAGTTTCGTAACTCTCTAACTTGTCTTCAAAATATGGCCAGAGAACTTAGTCATTCAACTTAGAAGAAATGCTCAACTTTCTCATTTTACTTCGAACTATACTCTTGATTTTACCTTTCTTTTTGGTGATATGACTTATATAATTTTGCCAAAATCCTCCCTCGTAATAAAACAAGTCGTTGGATCTGACCGAAGCCACGTTACCCAATTCTTAAACCCTCGTAATAAGCCAATCACTGCAAGAACAACAACCAGACGTGACCGAAACCACAAAACGATACAGCATAGTCAGTTAGGTCAAACCGAAGCCACATTGCCTAGCTGCACGGATAACAACTTTACAGAGGTACTACAATCAGACCTGGCCGAAGCCACATTGTATGATTATTCAGAAGATAAAACAATACAACGGTCAAACCTGATCGAAGCCATATTGTTTGGTTGCCAAAACACAAGTCAACCAATATTTACAAAAACTAGACCTGACCGAAACCACATTATCTAGCTTGCAAAGGAAACATAATTAAACGACAGGGACTCAATCAACGCAAGCAAACTACCTTTCTCTCACCTTCCCCCAATTCATCCCTTAGTATGATGTCAACCAAAAATAAAATGAAACTTAAATTTACGCATGCGTTCCTTCCAATGAATCCGATTAGGTTATAAAATGAAAACAAAATCATAAGAGAATACATGCATATCTCTCAGACAAATTAGAGCGATCTAATGGTAGGGCTATAGTGGGTTCACACAAAGCAGAAGAAGGTACACCTTACAGTTCTCTGCCTCCAGAATCTCACCTAGATTCCGATAGAGTTCCTACAATCGGTGGGGCGAATCTCCCACAGACGCCTTGGTACAGATTACGAGTTGCAATCTCGCCTGCCGCTTTCCCCCTGAACCAATAGACTAAAATGAGAGTAAGAAAGGCAGAAAGAGAATCATTAAGCCTCTCGGATACAAGGGAGGTGCACTCGAAACCATCGGACTCCAGAGCGTGCCATAATGGCGGGCAATGATCGCAGCAAAATAGTTAAACCGAAGTCGAAACACTGAATATCTGCCCCTGGCGAACCTCCAAGTTGCAACAATGACCCCGTGCAGGGCCAAATTACCCCTTCAAGCTACAGTTTGAGGCGTTCAATCATAATCCTATGCATGGCAGCTTTGCACCACCAACGTCTTAGCCAAGCATGACACGCACAATGTTGTGCTGCAAAACCTGACACTTTGGATCACATGCAAGCCCTCTTTTCCACGAGGCTGAATGCCCAAGCTCCAATCACCCCACCCACTCTTACCCAAACTCAAAGTGACGACGCAATTTGTTGTCAATCAGCAACAACAACCGGAAAAACCATCAATAATAAAAATAATATACTGTCGTTGAATACAGTACTTACTTTACATGAGCACACAACCGTAGCTCATAATAACAAAGTAGCAGCGGTATTGGACTTCAACAGCAACTAACCAAACTCAAGTTCAGTTGCACAACAATTTCTTATCCAACAACACTTGTCTCAAAAACAATCCTGAAGATCGATAACCTTCAAACAAAAACAAAAACTCCCTGAACAAAGCGGTGGTAGTCTGCCTGTTATCGAACAGAAAACCAGGTTGTAACGCCATGAAACAGGCTGTAGTTGCAAAGGAACATCGCATACAATAACTAGTACACAATGACAAACGCCAACAAAAACTCAACAAATGACAGTACTTTGAAACCCCCCTTTCTGCTGCTGCAAAGATAAACAACTCCTAAAGCACACAACAACAGTCTGCTCCCGTAGCCTGAAAAGGATCACTACGAGTTAGAGTGGTGACTGTGGGTACAACGACCTTCACAAGTAACACTATTATCATCCTGAAGGAAAACAACATGATCACGTTACTTGAGACCAGCACGAAGATCAACCGCAAATGAGTGAGTCGCTTTCATTTCTTTCTCTGCTTGCTTGCCCTTCTTCCCGTATATCCCTGCTCACTTGCCTCTTCGATCTCTGCAGGTACGAGGATCAACAAAATAATGAATGTCGAGCACCTTGAGGAAAAATGGCGATTATGGTGGGAGGAAAACGACCACCTAGGGCCCATCCCATACTTATTTAATTTTCCTTTCTTCTTATTTATCCACTACTAGTTATCTTCCCACCGTCCGAGTTCATCTTACCGATTCCTCTGCGAAATTCGTTTGTTCTTCTTAGCATCGGGCCAGGGAAAAACAACTGCAGATGTTCGATGGTTCTACCACAACGATAGTTGATACTACGACTACAATGGAGATCCTGACCAGCATGACAAAAATCTCGACCACAAGGACTAACTCTACGATGGCAAAATGCGCTAATCAACACTACGATGACGACACAGTGCAGTAATGGTACGACGATAAAGATGGGCGCGTGGCACCATAAGGTGGAGGTAAGTTGTGCCTCGCGTAGGCCCTATCCTGTCGTAGGGGCTCGCGAGAGGTATGGCTGGCGCACTCGGCCGGAGCGGCCTAAGGAAGCTCCATTTGTGCGTTCGTGTCCAGGTTGGTCCAACTCCTGCGTGACGCGGCCGAGAGGGTCCCGCGATGGCACGTGCGGTGCCGGACCGATGCGCTCGACAGCGGGGAGGATGTGATTGACAACGATGTGTCGTGGTTGTGGGGGCCTTATCGAGGAGATGGTTTTTTGGATGATGAGGCCCCTGCCACTGTGAGCCATGCAGGTCGGATGCTCCCACCACGCGCCCCGGTTGACGATGGAGCCTCCCTTGCTGGCACACCTGCGACTGAGGCAAACTTGCACAACATTCGTGGAGATGCGTTTCCTGCCGTGTCGGGCGGCGCCGGCGCAGATGATGGCATCGGGGGGTATGGGGGGGCAGGTTGATGAAGCGACTGCCGCACCCGAGATTCCCATCAGCCTAGGGAGCCCGCTACTCGATCGCCCACTCCGGCAGCCCTTGAGGGCAACCGTCTTTCGTGGCAGGTACCGTTGAGGGCACATCGTCCGAGTGCCCAGCTGCGGCTGCTGGCACCTTTTCCAGCCCCCACTGTGCAGTAGAGTACGACTCTGAGGGGAGGCTTAAACGACGAGCGGGTTTCACAGGTCCGCTAGACGTGTCGACAGCATCGGCTGTCTGCCATGACACCGACAGGGATTTGGCGGCGTACTTGCCGAGACCGTTGTCGGATCTGCAGCGAGTTGACCTTGATGTGGAACTGGTGGCATGGACTCTGCAGAGCCCATTGGTGGGAAGGCTGCTGTTGGGGAGGCTACCTGCAGGGAGGGAGGCGCAGAGACTCGGAGAGAGGATATCGCGCATGACCTGGCGGCCGCCGGTTACTCAGCAGAGGAGATTGAGCAGGCATTGGCGGGGTACCCCGGAAGACATGGACGAGGGATGCCGCAACAGGGGATGCGCACACGCCACGAGGTGGGTGGTGGCACTGCACGCGTTTCTCCCTCACTCCCGTTGCCACGTGCAGATCCTTCTTTGGCACTGGGATCGTAGGCCCCGGACCGCAGCCGCCTCCCATGATGGATACGCAGGGTGTCGATGGACATTGCAGTGGCACAGGGGAGCACGGCTCCCCAGGCACCGGTCTTCGTCGTGCAGTCGCCCCTGCGGATTTTGGCGCACGGGCGACGATACCATTGCCGCCCAGAGACCCCTCAGTCATCATCGAGCCGATTCAATCATTTGTTGGTCGCAAGCGGAAGCCAGAGAGTGCCGCGGGACAGGAGGTCAGGGGAGCTGCAGGTTGTGGCAGAGGCCGAGGCCGACCATCGGGAGAGGGGAGGGGCGCGGGCGAGAGGGATATGTCAGGACAGGTATGCGGGAGAGGAGTGGGGCGCGAGAGAGGAGAGGGATGTCCCAGAGGTCGGCCACCTGGACGGGGGAGAGGAGAGGGACATGCCACGACACGAGAGGGCGGTGCACCAAGGAGGAGAGCCCCCGCAGATGGAAGAGACGTTCATACGGATGCAGCGCCGATCACATCATCGAGCAACAAGGCGGAGGAGGGCATAGCGTTGCACATCACCAGGAGGCGCAGGGGAGAGGTGACGACAAGGGCAGCACTAGCATCCGCGGCCACATCATGCTCACCGACGACCACATCGGCATCATCAGGCAACCTGGATTTCGAGGGGGGTGTTGAGGAGGACGAGGAGGAGGCAGAGGTCGATGCAGGCATTGTGGCGAGAGAGGGTGATATGTCAGGATAATTTTGTACATTGTTCGCTTTGTGTGCGAGTGTGTGCAGTGTGTGTGTGTGTGTGTATGTGTGTGTGTGTGTGTGTGTGTGTGTGTGTGAGAGAGAGAGAGAGAGAGAGAGAGAGAGAGAGAGAGAGAGAGAG